GTTTTATAAAGATAAACATATTTTTCCCATATGTTTCATGAATTCAAATCTCAGTTATTTACCTGAGAAATCAAAGTATATATTCACAAAAGACTTTTACAGATGAATCTCTAAAGTGTTATGCTAAGGGAAGGCCTATCCTCAAAGCATACTGTTTTATTCCATTTATACAAAGTTCTAGACAATACAAGCCAATCTGTATGGAGAGCAAGTTAGTGATTGTCTTGACCCGTAAGTACGTGTGGGAGATTGTCCGAGAAGGGGCATGAGGCAACTTTGGTGATGATGGAAATGTTTTGTATCTTTCTTTGGTGGTTATTAGTGTGGTGAATGCATTTAGCAAAACTTATTTAACTATGTACTTAACATATATATGTTTAACTGTTTGAAATTTTTAGTCCAATAAAAAATGGACATGTCATTAATTACATGTCATTAAGCCTGATACAAGTTACAAGTAAATACCTAGATTATTTTTCGTGAAACTAAGAATATCCAAAATAAAAAATTGTATATGATCAGAACTACTGGTTGCAGATGGTTTGCAGAGACAAATATAGAAGATACTGGCATGCATTTTGGTGAAAACTGAAGGGAAAGTGGGGAGCTCTACTGCTCTTGAATTAACATAATCTTTTCAAGTTTAGGAAATCAGTATAGGTAAATAAATTGAACATGTGCCTTAACGACAACCACAGTAATAACAATTTTTATCTTTTAAGGTAGCATAAGAAACCTTATAAAGTGAAAACCAAGAAGGGAAAAAAATGAAAGAGTGAAATAAATGAAAAACATGAAATAAAATGCCAGAAACAAGTATTATTTAAAATTAGTGTAAATGGTTTACACTCACCAGTTAAACTCTCAATGAATTTTTCAATAGTTTAAGTGATAGCTACATGATTCTTAATTAAAGTGGTGAAAATAAAAGGATGGACAGTGATGTACCAGGCAAATATGAATGATAGCAATTAATAAAGCTAGACAGTAATCTGAACAGATGTTCACCTATATATATTTCTGAAATTTAGTTGAGAAAGACAGAAGCTGAACCCACTAGAAAGTTTTGATATTTAATAAAGAACTTGATAAATGTATATATAAATCTAAATAAGCAACAGTTTTATAAAACTTATACCTAATGTTCTTAATGAAGGAAAGGAAACAAGGTGAAAGTAAGTATTGGGTAGCAATAACATCCCTAATGAGAAGGGGATGACTTTAAAACATTTGAATGTTCTTGTACTCTTCAGGGAAAGAGAAGAGATTATTAGTTTAGAATTCATGAGTATGCTAAACATTTAAGGGTAAATAAAGCAGAGAGTGTATACAATTTGTGGAACTAAAGAAGTCAAAATACAAAGAAAACAATAGAAGCCTGAATAAAAGCATATAATAGTTAAGGTAAATAAAAAAATATAAACTAAGATGTCAGAAAAAAATTCCAGATGTATCCATTATAGCAGTAAGTTAAAATGCAGTTAAAATGGACTGAACTGAACAGTTTAAAAAACATGAATTAAGGAAGATGAGCAAAATTTAGCTGTAGAATGCTTACAAGGACAAACCTAAAGCATATGAACACAAAAAAATTAAGAATATTAGGAAAGACTTATATCAGAAAACTTATCCTTATTCTCTTGTACATTTTCCCACCTCCTTTAGGTAACCACAGATAGATTACTATAAGTCATCTTTACATTTTCTAAAAATTTTACTCAAGTGGGATTACACAGTGTGTATTTTGTGTTCTGATTGTGTTATGCAACATAGTTATGCATGTATTCATGCATATTTTTCCATGTATCAGTCATTTGTTGCTCAGGTGTGTTCCATTGTATATGTATATACACACATTGTATTTAATTTATGTGATATATGTATATAATTGTGCTTATTGATTTATTGATATAGTTAAGAGTTATATATATTGTTAGAGCTATTGTGAACAACAGTGCTATAAACATTCTTTTTTGAGTCATTTTGCAGACACATATTTTTATTCCTCAGTAAATACTTATGAGTGAAGTTACTTCATGAAATAGGCATATGTTTAACATCATTACGAACTATCAAATTTTTGGCATTTTTAAGATGTGCCATGTTCTTAGGGCTTTATTTGTGATGATTACTCAGATGTCATCCCATTGTTATTCCTTCATATGTCGTGTACCTTTTTTTCCTTTGACTTTATATTTGGCATTCAGCAATATGATTCTCATGTCTCTAAATATGATTTATATTAATTTTCTTTGGGATTTGCTGTACCTTTTGGACTTCCATTGTTTTTCATCAAATTTAGACAATTTTTGGCCAATATTTTTCAAAAATTTTTTCTGCTGCAATTTCTTTTTTCCTTCTGAAACTCCAATTACATGTTGTTACAATATTTGATACCATCTCAATATAGCTATTTTCAAATTCTTTTTTTCTAATTCGAACAAATAGGAGATCTTGGGATCTGATGGGTTTGTTGTTGTTGTTGTTTTTGAGATGGAGTCTTGCTCTGTCCTCCAAGTTGGAGTGTAATGTCGCAATCTTCGCCTACTTCAACCTCTGCCTTCTGGGTTTGAGTGATTCTCCTGCCTCAGCTTCCTAAGTAGTTGAGATTACAAGTGCATGCCACCATGCTGGGCTAATTTTTGTATTTTTGTGGAGACAGGGTTTTCCCATGATAGCCAGGCTGGTCTTGAACTCCTGACCTCAGGTGATGCGCCCACCTCTGCCTCCCAAAGTGCTGGGATTACAGGTGGGAGCCACTGCACCTGGCCGGATGTGTTGATTTTTAAATGGGATCAGGGAGTGGGCTACACAGGGCTTCATTTTTTAATCTGAGTGATCCATCATAAGTGTTCAGTATATTATTATTTAGGCCACTTTTATGTTTAAAATACTTAATAATTCATGAAAAAATGGTAACCATTGCCTAATGTATTGTCTAGAAATTTACTCCTCTTTCTTCTGTCTCCTCCTCCTTTCTTTTTCCTCCTTCTTTGAGATGGAGACTTCCTCAGCCATCCAGGCTGGGGGTGAGATGTTGCAATCATAACTCACTGTAGCCTCAAATTCTTGGACTCAAGCCATTCTCCTTGAAGATTGTTTGCAAGATTGTTTCAGCTGTTCTGGATCCCTTGTATTTCCATGTTAATTTTAGGATTAGCTCATTCATTTCTACAAAAATAATTTATCTGGAATTTTAATAGAAAATGCGTTGATCTGTAGGTCAGTTTGGGGAACATTGACATCTTAACAATATTATGTTTTCCAATTCATGCACATAGGTAGCATTCCATTTAGTTGGGTCTTTATTTTCTTTTAATGATGTTTTATAGTTTTCAGTGTAGACATTTTATACTTTTAAAAATGTCATTTCAAAATATTTATTGCTATTTCCGCCCCTCCTCCCCCAACCCCGTCCCCACTTCCCACTCCCCACTCCAAGGCAGGGTCTCAGTCTGTCGCCCAGGCTAGAGTGCAGTGGCACAACCTCAGCTCACTGCAACCTCGACCTCCGGGTCCCAAGCAATTCTCCCACATCAGCCTCTCAAGCTGTGGCTATAGGTGTGAGCCACCACACCCGGCTAATTTTTGTATTTTTTGTAGAGATGGGGTTTCACCATGTTGCCCAGGCTTGTCCTGAACTCTTGGGCTCAAGTAATCTGCCTGCCTTGGCCTCCCAAACTGTTGGCATTACTGGCATGGGCCACTGTGCCTGGCCCATTTGCATGATTTAAACAGAACAAAGAGTCTTCTGTGGATTTTCAGTTTCCCTCATTCATACAGAAAGATAACAATCACTTCATGTGGATATAGTGTTGACTATGTGCCAAGCACTCTTCTAAGCACTTTTATATACATTTTATTTTTAGTATAGATGAAGTCTGAGTTGGCCAGCTGGTCTTGAAATACAGAGCTCAAGTCATCTGCCTGCCCGGCCTCCCAAAGTGCTGGGATTACAGGCGTATGCGACCACGCCTGGCCACCACTGTATATTTATTTGTTTCCAGTAGTTTTGTAGAACTCGTTTATTAGTTCAAATGAGCTTTTTTTTTTTAATCTGCCTACAAGATTGTCATCTTGAATAGAGATACTTTTACTTCTTTTTTGCCAGTGTATCTTTATCTATATTAAATGTTTGTGTGTGTGTTATAAAAATTGATAGCCTTATGTTTACAGAACTTACATGTTTATCATATGATTTGAAGAACATTACATTTCAAAAATATTGGTAATTCTTAAGCAATTTGTCTTTTATATTCATTGTATTTATCTGTAATGTTAATTCTCAATACATTGATACTCATTGTATTTATCTGAACGTGTCAGAAACATATTGCTAAAAAATGATGCATCAAAATAAGAAATGAACTTGTGCAGTCGTAAAAAGAACAAGATCATGTCTTTTGTGGGAACATAGATAGAGCTGGAGGCTATTGTCCTTAGCAAACTAATGCAGGAACAGAAAACCAAATACTGCATATTCTCACTTATAAGTGGGAGCTAAATGATAAAAACTTGTGAACACAAAGAAGGAAACAACAGACAGTGAGGTCTAGTTGAAGGTGGAGATTGGGAAGAGGGAGAGGAGCAGAAAAAATAACTATTGAGTACTGGACTTAATACCTGGGTGAAATAATTTGTACAACAAACCCCCATTACATGAGTTTACCTTTGTAACCTTCATGTGTACCCCCCGAACCTAAAAATAAAAATGAACTTTTACACTTCTGGGCCTTCAGTCCGGTCACCCTTGTATTTCCTGAAGTTAATGATTCAATGAAAGAAGAAATAAAAGATTTCATTATTAAATTTTCTAATTGGGTTCACTGTTAACTAAGATCTGTGACAGTTATGAGACTTGGGTCATATAATTATTTAGATATTTCTGAAATATTTAGCAAATACTCGTTATTAAATTTCATCTGTCTTTAGAAAAATTGTTTCACGTTTCATTTTTCTTCACACTGATTTGAAATGTTCTGTTTTTTAAATTTTGCTAGGTATAACCCGGAAAAATCCCAGAACACCTCTTTCTGATCTCCAGGGCATGAATGCTCTAAATGAAAAAAACCAACAGTAAGTGTGTTTGGTTTATGTTTTCAAAGACATATAGAAGAAATAACTAGCATTCTTGTTGATATTTTTGTGACTTTAAAAGTACGAAGTAATTCAGGTGTTTTTTTCTTAAATCCTTTATAAGTGATGTGATAACACATTAATAGGTTAAAGTTAACAAAATTTGTTTACAGTTGCTTCTGGTAAAATGGCTTTACAATTTTGAAAAAGTTTCTTCAGAATAATTTAAAATGAGCTCATATATTTTAATTGCTGAGACCCTTCGTGCATTTTATGTCTTTTACAAAATTTAAGGGTTATTCTGCTGCTTTCTGTGGAGAAATCTTATTGGGAAGTAATAATCGAATAGTTTGATTTACATCAAACCATCTAATACCTTTTTTGGGTGAGTGCGATTAACAAAGCTTACCTTTTACTATTTTCAATGACGAATTCCTGAGAACAATTTGACAGTAACAAATATAAATAATTTTATGAGTTCATAAAGTCTCTTTGTTTTTTATGTATACTATTTGATAAAGACTGTAATTTATATGAGGAGAAGAACATTGTTTCTAGAATGCATTCTCTGTGTTTTAAACATCATCAAAAAATTGAGCTTCCTAATACTCTGGTAATAAGGATGGTCTGTCATTAAAATGAAGGTATAACTTCACTGATCATTTTTTCTAATTGAGTTACTATGTCTTTCTAATACATAATTGTCACTTGTCTGCTCAATAACTTTTTCATGACTCCTTATTGTCTATTAAAAGTCTAGGTTCAATAACTTCATGTGCAAGATCTGTCATAGCCCAAGTATCTAGCCACAAATATATTCACTTCGAATGCCACAAATTAAACTATTTGCTATCTTTATATTGTATGTCCTTTGTTTTCTTAACAGTAGTATTTGACTAATTATGATATCTACCACCATATTTTCATGTTAAATTTTACCCCAAAACAAATTAGATAGTTAACCTTGACCTGTGTACCTTCAGTTTCATCTGTTGGCAATATTCTCACCCTGGTCATCGGATGAGAACCCAATTTTCTTGGTTATATAAAAAAGAAACCGTGATATGCCTCATTTCACAAAGCAGTTAGTGGTTTTAAGTTTCCTAATTTCTAGTTCGTGTTTCTTTCTTTGTACTTTCCATTTTGGATACCTGAAGTGGTCTATGTGGGTTTCTGGTTCAGTTCCAGACCACCACAATAAAACGAATTCTCAGTAAAACAAATCACACAGATTTTTTGGTTTCCCAGTGCATATAAAAGTTACATTTACACTATACTGTAGTCTGTCAATTGTGCAATAGTATTATGTTTAAAAAATATATACCTTAATTAAAAAATACTTTGTTGCTAATAAAACTAACAATCATCTGAGCCTTCAGTGAGTCATAATCTTTTTGCTGGTAGAGGGTCTTTCCTTGATGTTGATGGCTGCTGACTGATTAAGGTGGTGGATGCTGAAAATTGGAGGGGCTATGGCAATTTCTTAAAATAACACAATGAAATTTATTACATCAATTGCCTCTTCCTTATAGGAAAAATTTCTCTGTAGCATCCAGTGCTGTTTGATAGCATTTTAACCACAGTAGAACTCCAGAATTGGAGTCAATCCTCTTAAGCCCTGCCACTGCTTTATCAACCCAACTTATGTAATGCTTTGAGTCCTCTGTTGCCTGTTTTTAAAAGAATTTTTTCCTCAACAGTCCTTAACCACAGAATACGTTGTCATTTCAACAATTTTCACAGCATCTTCACCAGGAATGTATTTTTCTGCTGCATTTTTTCCTCTGTCTCCCTCCCTCCCTTCGTTCTTTCCTTCCTTCCTGCTTTCCTTCTTCCCTCACTTGCTTCCTTCCTTCCTCTCACTCTCTTCTCTCTTTCTCCTTTTGTTTCCTTTTTTTTTTCTCTAAAGCCAGAGTAGCACTCATGTTTTTAAATGAGAAAAATATAAGTGCACACACAAACCATCTTAAGTGCAATATATGATTCTCCCGTTTGGGAAGACGCATTATCTTAGGGATAATGATTCACTGACTTTTTTTAATGGTTTAGCACAAAATAATGAAAATACAAGCATTTCTAAAGGGTTTATTGATTACATGCCATTTATATATCTTGAATAAATGCTCTAAGCAAATGGAAGCTGAGATTTATAAATATGGACAAATGTGAAATTGTTGTAAGTAGCTATCTCCTGATAATTATTTTTAAAAAATTTTAGTTCACTCATAATAATTATACATATTATAGGGTACAGTGTGATGTTTTGATACCTGTATACATTGTATAATGATCAAATTAAGGTAATTACCATATTCATCTCAAATATTTATCATTTTTTTGTGGTGGGAACATTTCTCTTTCAAAATTTTCTTTTCTAGCTATTTTCAGGTATATAATACCTTATTGTTAACTATAATCACTCCATTGTTCAATAGAAGACCAGAATTTATTCCTCTTGTCTTACTGTAACTTCATACCCATTGACAAACCTCTCCCCTTACTACACTGCTCCACCTCGTTACCTTTTCCAGTCTCTGATAATCACTGTTCTATTCAGTACTTCTGTGAGAGCAGCTTATTTAGATTCCACATATGAGTGGGGTCATGCAGTGTTTGTGTTTCTGTGTCTGGCTTATTTCAGTTAACATAATGTACTCTTATGTTTGTCCATGTTGTCCAAATGATAGGACTTTATTCTTTTTTTAATGACTGAATAGGATTCCATTGTGTATATATACCACATTTTCTTTATCCATTCCTTTGTTGTTGGATCCTACTAGTTTACCTGGAGAGCCCTCCATTAATTATTACGTACTTTACCTGGGGAGCCCTCCATTAATTATTACGTTATAATCACTGATAATTTTGTGTTTTGTTCATTGCTACATCTGCAGTGTCTAGAGTCTCATAAGACTTAGTAAGTTTAATGCGTGTGTGAGTAGTGAGTGTGTGTGTGTGAATAAGACCTTTCAGGAGGAAATTAGATATTCCATAGGATGGGATGGTCTATTAGGATTACAGATTCCTACAGTAGCATTTGAAAATTCTAAAATCTAACAAAGAGAGAAGATATTATAATCCATTATATTAGTTACTAGTTGTTGAATGATAATATATTTAAAGATGTCAACTACATGATGTGCTCATCTACATGCACATTTGTATGTGAATATGACGGAATTCATAGGAATTTGTTCTGAATGAGACAAAGGTTAGTCCCAACTGATTGGCAATCATTTGCATGAAATCATTTTTTTATTGGTTTAGCATTTTTTTTCTAAATTTTAACTTTAGTATTTAAAGTTTTATTTTGTTTAAGCAATATAGTGTTAATTAGAGAGGTCTTGATTAACTAAAGCAAATTCGATTTTTTACAGTGATACATTTGATATTGCCTGGAATGGCAGAACTGGGATTCGCCAGAGCAGACTATCAAGTAGCACCTCCTTGCTTGATAAAGATGGAATATTTGCTAATTCAACTAGCAGCAAACTCCTGGAGAGAGCCCATGGAATTCTCACGTCAGTACTGATCAGTAATGTGATTTTTTTTTTTTTTTTTTTTTTGGTCTGGTTTAAAATTTCTGGCAGGAAAAAATGAAGGAGGGAGATGGTGAAGTGTTATTTTTATGGGAAGAATTTTGACTGAAACAAGACTCAAAGGTGTTTAGGTAGCATTTACAGCCATGAATCTCGTGTGTTGTAAAGCTTGTGTTTTTGTTGATTTTTCTGCCCCATATTACCAGGAGAATTGTGACTGAATATATTTATTATGGAGATGATAATAAAGGTCTTATTGTTTAGACAGGCCCTACCTTCAGAGAAAGAAAAAACTATTAGCTCCTTTTAGGATTCCCAATTTTTACTACAGGTCTCCTTTAATTCTAGCAGTCTTAACAAATTAGGCAAGAAAATCTATAAATGGTGAATGGTTGAGTGATACATGACACTTATCCAAGCTTTCCATTTCTCATAAACTGATTATAGAGTTGAAGACATAGCCATAACCATACTCTACCATGCTTCATAGAGACCCCATCTCTCCAAAAAAATAAGGAAAAGAAAAAAAAATTAGCCAGGTGTGGTAGTGCATGCATGTAGTTCCAGCTATTCAGGAGACTGAGGTAGGAGGGTCATTTGAGCCAAGGAAGTTGAGGCTGCAATGAGTCTTGATCTTGCCATTGCACTTCAGCCTGGGTGACCGATTAAGATCCTGTCTCTGAGAGAAAAAAAAAAAAAAGGAAAAAAAAGTTATTAATTATTAACATTAACATATTTTAGACATTTCCCAAGCATATCATTTGACCACTAGCAAGAGGTGTGACTGAATTGGATTCCATAAGCCTTGTCTGAATCACTGCTTAATAATGTTAATAGGTTCTATTTATGTAGGTCTTGATCTAGCCCAGAGATATACATAAACTCATTTAATACTCACAATAACTTTTAAGTTATAGGTAGTATTGTCATCCCCATTTTACATTATTACATAATGAAAAGTTAAAGATGTTAAAATCATACCTTAACAGATGGTAGACCATAGATTGTTGTCCAGGTCTTTCTGACTTCCCAGCCCATATTCATAAGCGTTGGACTTTATTCCTTCTTTCTGTGGCCATAAAAAAAGCTAAAAATAAAATTAAAAAGACTTAAGTATGGTATTGAGGTTTGAATAAGGAAAAAAAAATGAGTGGAATAGAAGAATTTTTAATTACCAAAAATGGAAGATTACATTTTGGTGATAAGTATGTTTTTAAAAAATTTATGAAACAGACATCTCACTTAGTCTTGAAATGATAGAAATAAGTCTTCTGTAGGTACAAGAAGCTACTAACAACTGAAGAAAATGAACCTGTAGCTTAGAATGTACAACACAGTGTTACTAATCATCAGGTGTAAATCTGTTTATACTTATATAACAAGGCAGGTGTATTTTCCTTGTTTATTCTTCCTTCCCAAGGTGCCTGCTTGGCTGAATCAGATAGTGTTTTCATATAGAAGACCTACAGTCTTGATAGTGGGTATATAATCTGTTGTTTGAGGAGAGACCTTGAAATCTTACTTCTCTACAGTAGCTTTTGTTTTTGTTTTTGTTTTTGTTTTTATGCAGTAGCTTTTTTTAATGAATGATTTATCTCTATAGGAGAAACAAAAATTTCAAACCCAAGCCTGCCCTTCCAAAGGTGAGTACTATGAAAACTCTTTTTGTATTGGTATTCTGCTACACAATTATTTTTTATTACACATACAATCTTCATGCATCAAAAACAAGAAATAACCTTATTTGTATCCAAGATAGTGATTGTGCACTTAGTTGAATCCATTTTAGAAATAACACTGTTATGAAATGGCTAAGCCTAATGGTTCAGGTAAATATTTATTTGTGGTATATACCATTTTCTAGTATTTTAATAGCTCCTGAATATAAATGTTGTTCAGTTATTGCCTCTTCATTTAAGGTCTTTTCATTTCTCCTTGAGCCAAGTTAAGGTCAAATTCTGAATTGTACCTGATTTTAAAATAATTTCTGTTTAGTGCTTACATAATCCAATTATCTATAATAAATGTTTGCCAGGTTTTTCTATAAAGGGACATTGTCTTTTCAGGCTTATGGTTTCTGATATAACTAGTTGGCTCTGCTGTTGTAGCAGAAATGCAGCTATAATTTGCATTCCAATAAAACTTTATTAATGGATACTGAAAATTGAATTTTATATAATTTTTCACATGCCATAAAATATTATTATTTTAACCCATATAAACCATATATAAATAATGGGAAGGGTTTGGTGAGCAGTACTTGCCCCTCTGTTAGTATAGCTCTGTTTTTTTATTTTTTTGCGGGGATTGTTGTTTCATTTTGCTTTGTTTGTTTTATTAATGTTTATAACAACTTTATTTGTAATAGCAAAAAACTGGAAGCAACTCAAACTTTCATCAACAGAAAAATGGATAAATACATTGTGGTATAGCCATATAATTGAATATTTAACTCACCAATAAAAATTAATAAACTATTGATGCGTGTAACAACATGAATGAATCTCAAAATAATTGCACGCAATAGTGGATACTGTATATAAATCTCAGAAAATATGAATCGCAGTGACAGAGAACAAAGAGGTGTTTTTAAACACACACACATTTCCAGGGACTACAGTCCCCTGGATCAATGCAGATAAGTAGTTAAAAAGCACACTCCCCAGTTAATTTCTGGAAGGGGTTTGTCTGTGTACTTTTGTAGCTGTTGTTTGAGGATTGGGCTCCTCTCTAGTCTGTATCTGGTAGCCACAGGCAAACAAACAGTAGACCCCTGGGATACTGACTGAGTTCCAGCGTTTCCTGAGTTCTTTCATCTGACTTGCTCCAGCAATAAAGCTAGAGCAGATTGTCTCTACAGATTATCCCTGGAAGGAGTTTATTCATGGATTGATCACAACTGCCACAGCTCCCTCCCAAGGGATGGTCTCCTTAACCATATAGTTCTGGGAATAGTTCTGGGAATTGATGGGACACTGAATTTCTGAGTCTCTAGACCAGTGAAAACAAATAAATGGGCCCACTTTCTTCCCCCAAGATGAGATAATGCAGTCTGATATAAAATGTAGGCGTTTGCTAGAATTCCTCTCTCCAGCGTAGTGCAGAGAGAATCCTACTTTCAGCTTCACCCTGAGGATAGAAGGAACTGGAACACACTTTTAACACTTCAACCTTTTTAGATGTGTCTAGAGGGAATGACTTCTCTCTTACATGTTTTGAGGTACTGACAGAACTTGGCACATCCTAATTTCCTGGAGGCAACAAAAAACAAAGGCAGCAGTTTGGACAAACACAAAGGTTTGAGAGTTACCTTAGAATTTCTGGCCAGACTGACTGGTTAGGTCCTTCTGCATGAAACGGGACTGGGGGAAGCTATTAGGTTATCTAATGTGCAGAAAACACAGAGGGTAAAGGCAAATGAAGAAATGGGGAAGTGTGTTCCAAATAGAGAAACAAGATAAATTCAAAAAGTACCAGAAGGAGAAGAAAGAAAAAGTGAGATAAAACAGTTTCAAAGATGTAAAGGCAGAAAGCTACTCAAGTCTGGGGAAATAGAACTCCAGATCTAGAAAATTCAAAGGACACCAAATACTATCAATCCAAAGAGATCCATATTAAGGTACGTTATAATCAATTTGTCAAAAGTTAAAGACAGAGTATTTTTTAAAGAGCAACAATGAAAAAGCAACATGTTAAGTACAAGGGTCCCCCACAAGACTATCATCAGATTTTTCATGAGAAACCTTGCATGCCAGAGGTAGTGGGATTCAAAATCCTCTGAGAAAAAAGACCTGCCAACCATAGTACTAATGCCCAGCAATTTTGTCTTTCAAAAATGAAAAGGAGAGATAACAACTTTCTCAGACAAACAATGGCTAAGGGAATTCAGCACTGCTAGACCTGACTTACAGGAAAGTAGAACTCTATTTTCTTGAACTTCTTTCTTGAGAGTTCTCTAAACAAAGTTCTTCAAGCTAAAGGACAGTGGTACCATGAGAATATGAAAGCAGAAAATTCACTGATAAAAGTAAGTACACTATCTAATTTAAACATTCTAATTATGTAATGCCAGTGTGTAAATCAATGATATCTCTAGTGTAAAGGTTGAAATACAAAACTGTTGAAACAATGGCAGCTACAAAAGTTTGTGAAGGGACACAAATTATAAAAAGATATAAAATGTAACTTCAAAGAGATAAAACATGAAGGGTGAGTAAAAGTGTAGGATTTATGCGTGCAATGAAAGTTTAGTTTTTATAAGCATAAAATAGCCAGTTGTAAGTATATGACTGGCTTTTATGTAAGCCTCAAGGTGACCACCTTTAATGGATACACAAAAGATAAAAGGATGGAAGTCGTACCACTATAGAAAACCATCAAACCACAAGGGAAGACAGCAGTAGTGGAAGAAAGGCTCTACAAAACGATAAAATAACAAACAAAGTGGCACTAGTAAATCTTTACCTATCAATAACTGGTTTGAATGTAAATGGATTAAATTCTCCAATTAAAAGACACAGAGTGCCTGAATGCGTTAAAAGAAGAGAGACTCATCTATATACTACCTGCAAGAGACTCACTTTAGCTTTAACAGTGTACAGAGAATAAACATTAAGGGATGGGAAAAAATAGCCCATGCAAATAAAACCTGAAGAGACAGCAGCACTATCCTTATAACAGACAAAATAAAGTCAAAAACTGTAGATGAGATAAAGAAGGTCAATATATAATGATAAAAAGGGGTCTGGTCATCAAAAGGATGTAACAATTTTAAATATATATGCACCCAACATTGTAGCATCTAAATGTATAAAGCAAACATTGAGACTTCTGAAGAGAGAGAGAAACTACAATACAATAATCCTAGGGGATTTCAGTACCCCACTTTCAACAATGAACAGACCATCCACACCAAAAATCAATAAGGAAACAGTGGATTTGAAGAAAACATTGGACCAAATGCATTTAATAGACATATACAGAACATTTCAATCAACAGCAGCAGAATACAAATTCATCTGAAGCGCACATAGGACATTCTTCAGGAGATTACAGGCGTGAGCCACCATGCCTGGCCAGTAATAAAAATTCTTTCATAAAAGAATAGTCTAGGACCAGATAGTTTCACGCTGCAACACTACCAAATATTTAAAGAAAAATGAGTACTAGTCTTTCTCAAACTCTTTCAAAAAACTGAACTGGAGAGAATACCTGAAACTCATTTTACAAGGCCAGCATTACCCTGATAGCAAAGCGATACGAAAATACTACAAGAAAATTAGTTCAGCTACTATGGAGAAAGAAGTTCAGAGATTTCGCAAAGAACTAAGAGTTGAACTCCCATTCAACCCAGCAGTCCCATGACTGGGTGCATGCCCAAAGGAAAATAAATTGTTCTACCAAAAAGACACATGCACCTGTACGTTCATTCACGGTAGCAAAGACTACTGTGAATAGTGCAGATATCCTCATCAAAATGCCATTACACCATATTCAATACAACATTTGAAAGGATCATTTACCATGATCAGTTGGGATTTATTCTTGGGATACAAGAATGGTTCAACATATGCAAATCAAGAAATGTGATTTACCATATTAACACAATGAATAGTAAAAACCATACTATCATCTCAACACATGCAGATAAAGAATTTGACAAAATTCAGCCTTTCATGATAAAAGCTCAACAAATTAGATGTAGAAGGACTGTTCCTCAATATAATTAGGCAATATGTGACAAGCCCACAGCTGCCATTATACTCATTGGTGAAAAGTTGAAAGCTTTTCTGTTAGGATCAGGAACAAGAAAAGGATGCCCACTGTCACCGCTTCTGTTACACTTCAATTCAGTGTATTACTGGAATTGTTAGCCACAGAAATTAGATAATAAAAAGAAATAAAAAGCATACAGATTTAAAAGGAAGAAGTGATATTGTGGTTGTCAACAGCATAACGTTGTATAGAAAATCCTCAAGACCCCACTAAAAAGCTGTTAGAACTGATACATAAATTCTGTAATGTGCTTCAGTAATGTTTCAGGATACAAAGTCAACATACAAAAATCAGCAGTGTTTCTTGCTTTTTTTTTTTTTTTTTTAAATAGAGACAGGATATCACTCTGCCACTCAGGCTGAAGTACAGGGACATGATCGTAGCTCACTGTACCTTGAACTCATGGGTTCAAGCAATCCTTCCACCTCGGCCTCCTCAGTAGCTAGGACTGCAGGTGCACACTACCACATCTGGCTATCAAATTTTTTTTTTTTTTTTTGGTAGAGTCTTCTTTCTCTGTGTTGCCCAGGCTGGTCTTGAAGTCTTAGCCTCAGATGATGTTCCTGCTTTGGCCTCCTAAAGTAATAGAGTTATAGTCATGTGCCACTGCACCCAGCCTAAAAATCAGTAGCATTTTATAAACTAAAAATGAACTATCTGAAAAAGAAATTAAGGAAACCATCCCATTTACAATAGCATCAAAAAATATAAACTATTTTATAGTAAACTTAACCAAAGATGTTAACAATTTGTATACAAAGAATCATAAAACATTGATGAAATCAATGACAACGCAAATAAACAAATGATGTCCTGTGTTAGTGGATTGGAAAAATTAATATTGTTAAAATCTCCATATTGCCCAAAG